TCACCCTTCATCTTAGTTCCTAACAGAGACTAGATAGATGCTGAGTGAATGCTGCAGGATGAATGAGTGGGAATGAACCAAATCTTCATCATTTTTATTGCTGTCTCCATAGTCCCAGTGCAGGCTAATTGGTTTCTTTTCTTCCCCTCCTCCTCCCCCCTTTCTCTTTTAAGCATCCTTGCATATCTCTGACTCAGGAATCTATCTGAAGTATACTTCAGTCCTGGTCAAAAACTTTCGGTAGCCTACCTTTTCCTACAGAATCCATTTCATGCTCAATAGCATTTACACCCTCTAGTGGTCAATCTTCAATCAGCCTGTCCAGCTGCATTTCCCATGTTTCTCCTTGCCCACCTCCAGCCTCCAAACTATCTCTTATCCATTGTTTTGTCACACTCTATAGCATAACATCCCTGTGGTTTTATTTATGCCATACCCTCATCCAGATGCCTTCTTCCCCACTCACTGCCTAGCAAATTAACACTTGGAATGTCCCCTACCAAAGTTGGAATTAATCCTCCATGCTGTATCTTTCTGTATACTACTTTAATTTTTTTCCTCCATTTATGATATATATCACATTCTGCTTTGTATTATAGCCTTTGGTTTTTGTTTTATTTTTGCATATCTGCATTTTAAAAGATAACAAACTCCTTAAGGTAAGAGGTGAATCAGTTTAATCTTGAAAGCCACACGCAAGCTAGCCTGGGGCTATTCACTCACTATGGAAAGAGCATGTATTTTCACTTGAATCTCCATGATGCCACAAAAAGCTGTGTGATCTCTTTTATTTCTTTCTCCCAGTTTCCCAGCTTGTAAAAGGAAGATAATATTACCAAATTTGCAATATTATTATGCAGATTAAATGAAATAATATATGTAAAGTATATAGCTTAATACAGTGGCCCATGGCAGAAATACAATAAGTGGTCATTATTATTGCTGCTTTTCCTGGTGCTATAGTAGGTACTCGCTATTGAAGAAGGATATTGTTTTGTTTGCCTGAGCTCTTAGTATTAATGGTTTTCACTTAATTGTATGGCTCATTTCTAGCTGAATATAACTGAAGCTAGCGATTACCCATTAGCCTTGCAGTTAAATCTAAATCTTTAGTTTTCACTATATTATAATCTTTTATTACTTATTCTGATATTACAACATTTTCCTGGCAAAAAGGATTGCTTCCTTCTTCAGTTTTTCCACCAACAGAGGGCCAAGTCGTTTCCAGTATTTGTGAAATGAATGATTCAAGCCTTAATCCTTTTAAACTCAGTCTTTTCTATGCTGCTTTCTGGTAGAAACTATAATTCCCTACTTTCAGAGTTATTGAAACCTGCTCTGTGGTTAGAGGGGTGCTGAAGCACTAGACGGGCTTCTTTGGCCCGCCAGGTGCCTAACACGTTACTCTCCCACTTCAGTGAAATTTTGTTCAGTGTTTATGTTGAGAGCCTGGATTGCACCATCTAAATGCACAGTTCCTTGTACCAAAGAACTTGCTAAAAGTGCAGTCAACTAAGGGAAGGGAAATCTAATAATATGCCTTTGTAAATTGGTAGGAAAGATAATAGTCCAGATCATTCCTACTTTGAATTAAGTGTTTTGTGCTTATTATCAGTTAGAGTTTCTTCAAGTCAAAATTAGGGGAAGATGATTCAGTGTGAGGAAATACCTAATGTCTCTTTTTTCCTTTTCTAACTAAAATAATGATGGAATCATCAAAGAAATAAAAAGTGGTCAGTATATATATATATATATATAGCCTCCAAAAAAATGACAGGAATTGATCATGTATATTTAGAACATATGTATCCTCTTCTACGCTGGTGAGAATAAATCAAGAAATAGCACTAGAAATTAAGACCTAGACCCTGGCAAAGAAATGGTATATTTCCAGAGACCAAAATACTGGAAGAGGAGAGGGAATCCATTTCCATTTCACCAACTGATGATGATGGTGGTAATGGTGGTAATGGTGGTAATGGTGGTGGTACTGGTGGTAATGGTGGTGGTACTGGTGGTAATGGTGGTAATGATGATAGTAATAGATACAGTTTAGTAGAAAAATTGTCAGGCACTGTGCACATCAATGAACGTGTTCATTATCTCAGGCAACTTTTAATAAAAATCCCTTCGAGATAGGTAGTGTCATTTTTATATTCATTTTACAGATGAAGAAACTAGGGCTTCAAAAAGTACTCTTACCCAGTGTCACACAGCTTGTAAAAGACAGACGTGGGGTCTGCGATCAGTCTAACCTATCATTAGTCATCTTAATCCCAGTGCCATGCTGATCAGGCTACAAAGCTTCTTTCTGTAGGTGGGAGTGAAGTCAGAGAACAGGACAGGACTTCTTTAGGAATGTAGTAGCTCTGGGCCAGGGCAGAAGCACCAACCAGCCTGACTACCACTAACAAGGGCTTTTAGAAGAGGGAGTTGCAGATTGAAAAGGGGAAGACTGTTTAAATCCCTTACGGCAGTAACACCATTTTAAGCTCCATCAGGAGGGGAAGGAAGATAGAATATATGATTTAGAATCTACTGTGTTTCCTAAAGCCACTTTCAGTAAAGAACTTTGCCAGTAATCCCACTCCACTCCAGTGCATGGCACTTTTAGACTGCAAAACCTAAGCAGAGGAGAAAAACAGTGCAGTTACAGTTGGTGTAGGTACCTCTTCATCCTAGCTATAAAAAAAGACACTTTTCTAATCATCTCCATCTGGCTGTGAAAATGGCAAGATTCCATCCAACAGCCCAGAGGAGTGAGGTTTTGTAACCGGCCCCTGAGCTTTCTCCGGATCCTGTTTGAGTTTGGCCTGTCAGTAAAATTTTACCTTAGCTTATTCTCCAGCATCCGCAGTCCACCATGAGAAATCCCATTAACATCCTTTTAGACAAATTCTCTGTGATTAAGCAAAATAATTACCCCCAAAGAGTCATACATACCCATAAAGTAATAAATGGCCTCACTGAGATAGTTTACAAACAAAATAAGAAAGTGAAAAAAACACATTTTCCCGCCACACACAAAACATGAAAACCAACCTTACTACTGAAATAGATCTCCCATAGGTAATAAAAGATTTATATAATACCAAATGTCTATTCTTAGGGAAACAAAAGCAAATATGGCTGCAATGAAATAAAGTCAGCAGTGAAATTTCACAGCAAAATATTGACAAATGAATAAAAAGAATATTTCAAACAAGCATTGGAAGTAAAATAACATTTTTTTGATTCTAAGACATACATTTTCACATTTTAGCATGTCTGTAATGGGGACCTTCTTAAATGATAGCCTCTTTCAAATACTCGGAGCCAAGGAACAGTGGTAACGTATAATATGCCCCTTTTAAAACATGGGAGAGGTGGTGTCATTTCTGCTTGAATCTCTCTGGCTTTGGGTCTCACTCAATAAAACCTAAGATCCTTACCATGGACTGCATGGCTCAGTAAGATCTGGTCACCCACTGCTTCTCTGACCTCATCTCCTAAGAGCTTCCCTCTTTTTTAACTCTGCCACCTGCTGCAGCCATGCTGGTCTCCTTATTCTTCTTGGACCATCCGGGCATGCTTCCACCTCTAGGCCATTGTCCTGTTTCTTCCTCAGCCAGGAATGCTTTTCTGATTAAGAACCCCATGGTTCACTCTCACATCAACTTCAGATATTTATTCAAATGACAGTTTCTTATTTAGGCTTTCCCCAGCCATCTTATCTAAAATTGCATCATTCTTATACTCCCTATCTACCTTTCTGCTTCGTTTTTCTTTTTGACACTTATTATCAAATGATAGTTCATATTTCATTTATCTTGCTTATGGTTTGTCTCTCCCCAGTTGAATATCAGCTCCGGTAAAAACAAGGATTTTTGTCTATTGTCTTCACTGTTGAATCTCCAAGTCCTAGAATAATGCCTGGTATGGGGAAGGAACTTAACAAATAAATGTATGCTGATATATGAATAAATATATGTGTATAAAATATACATAAATATATAAAAATTTATATAAATGTGCTAAATATAAAGCAATAAATTGATGGGTTCCATGCTCAAAGGTTGGTGGGTAAGTTGGGGAGGAGGTATGACTGTCACACTCAGCCTGTCTAATGGAGCGTGGACTAGGTGTCAGGTGTCTTGTGATATAAACCTGCCTCTGTTACCAGCTGAGTGGAATGTGACAAGTTAATCCCCTGGGCCTCCAGGTTGGACTACATAATCTATACGGATGTTATAACATGTCAGTTAACTGAGCATTCTGCTAAAAACAGCTGAAAAAGGAGTAGGAAGGGGAAGCTGAACATGTGAAACCATATCTTTTTTTTTTTATAAGCAGATATTCATTTTTAATTATTATTTATTTATTTATTTTTGGCTGTGTTGGGTCTTCGTTTCTGTGCGAGGGCTTTCTCCAGTTGCGGCAAGCGGGGGCCACTCTTCATCGCAGTGCGCGGGCCGCTCATTATCGTGGCCTCTCTTGTTGCGGAGCACAGGCTCCAGACGTGCAGGCTCAGTAGTTGTGGCTCATGGGCCTAGTTGCTCCGCGGCATGTGGGATCTTCCCAGACCAGGGCTCAGACCCGTGTCCCCTGCATCGGCAGGCAGACTCTCAACCACTGCGCCACCAGGGAAGCCCCCAACCATATCTTTTAACATAAATATTTCATCACAATCAGTGGTAATTAGAGAGTTATTGCAAAAAAATTTTGGAATAACTTGTAGTCCAATTTCCTTTGCTTTATAAATAGTGTAACTGAAGCCCAAGATTAGAGAGATTTAGGTAAAGTCAAGTGCTAATTGGTGGCAGACCTTAGAACTCTACTTGACATCTCTGAATCCAGTGTTCTCTTTACTTTAACTAGTTAGTATACAGGGTAAATACTGGTGACTTTTCAAAAAAAGTATTTTTCTTAAACTGTTTTTTATAATATTCAGCTTAGACTTTAAGAATTCACTTAGTGGCAGGAATACATAGATCAGTTGATCTCTTTGTGATCTAATTCAGCTTACGGAAGAGATTGGAAAACTGGAAGATAAAGTGGAGTGCGCTAATAATGCCTTGAAAGCAGATTGGGAAAGATGGAAACAAAACATGCAAAATGATATCAAGTCAGCATTTACAGATATGGCTGAGGAGAATATCCACTCTTATGAACAGGTAATTAGTGATATGTGGTGTTGCTTCATTTTTAAAATGTTATCCTCTCTTACTTTCTATATGTCTTGTGTTGAAAAGAGTCTGTTCAGGAACCAAGTGTCACATTCAGAAGCCTCTTCGGTGGCTCAGTGCCAGTGGAGTTGCCAGTTAATATAGTAACGCTGTACCCACCCACTGACACAAATGTGTATATGTGGAGGGAGGGTGATAAGTTTTCCTTCCTACACAGCATGCCCAAGTACCTAATTTGAGCTGAGCTTGATGTTAGAAAGAATTATGCTACCATTTTATTGTGTCTGTTTTCCCCTCAGTTTCTTGTTTTGGAAGGATTTGAATTCTTCAAAAGCACTTGATCATGCTTCCTAATGATTCTCCTATCTTATTTCCTTTTCCTCTCTTTTTCTTGTATTGAAGAGGGTTTGCAAAATGAGGAAAGGACCAAAGGTTTGAAAATTAGTTCAGGGCTTATACGTTATGTCCCTGCCACCCCTACCATGCCTTCTGTAGCTATTCAAAAAAATCAAAAAAGGAGCATTAGTTCAGTTTATAGTTCAGTTGTTTTTTTTTTGTTTGTTTTTTAATTCAGGAAAGAGCCTAGTCAACATTTTTCTTTTCAAATGATTACCTTTTTTGAACAACTAACAATTCCGCAAAGTAGTTATTATTTTAAATGAATTTTATGCTATCACTTTCTTCATCTAGCATATTCTGAGAGTTTTGTAGTTTTAATTCTTACATTGAGGTATCTGACCCATTTTGAGTTAATTTTTTTTTTATTATAGTATGAGGTAGGGGTACAACTTCATTCTTTTTCTTTTCTTTTTTTTAATATTTACTTATTTATTTTGGCTGCGCTGGGTCTTGGTTGCGGCATGCGGACTCAGTTGCAGCATACACGCGGAATCTAGTTCCCCGACCAGGGGTCGATGACGGGGCCCCTGCACTGAGAGTGCGGAGTCTTACCCACTGGACCACCAGGGAAGTTCCCATTCATCTAGCGTATTCTGAACATACTTTTCCTGGAAGGTATATTTTAAACATACATCTTTAACCTTATCTCTGACTGAATTAATGACTATACAAAATTGATACATTAAGAGAATTATTTTATCCTTTGTAGTCTATAGTGCTTGCTAGTTTAAAGGTACTTTAAACTAAAATATTTTATATTTTGCAAGATTATCTGATACTGATATTTTCATTCAACAAGAATTACTTGAGCCCCTACTACCACCAGACACTGTGCTGGGCCCTGGAGAGACCACAGTATGCAGGACAAACACGGTCCCTTTCTCATGTAGTTACAGTCAATAAGAGAAACAGTCAATTAAAATAAAACGTTATGATAATAAAGTATAATAAGTTCCAGGATAGAAAGACAGTGCAGGGAAAGAGGAAGATTCCTCAGAGGATGTGTTTAAGCTGAGACCTTAATGAATGATGAATGAGAGGTAGCCAGATAAAGATGTGAGTAAGAGAGTTCCAGGCAGAGAAAAGACAAGAAGTGAGAGAGTACATGTTCAAATTACTGAGGTTCTCTTTGAAGGATGGTGGAGTGGAGGTAATGTTGAGTTGAAAAAGGAGGCTTGTAGAGGAGGAAAAATTTTCCTCGATCCTCTTAGGATTCCTGGCTGGGTCTGAAAATGAAACTGACAAAGATAAATTAACAGGAAAAATGTATATATGTTGATTTAATGTAAGTTCTTTGTGGTACAGGAGCCTTCATGAGCAAATCTAGACCAGAAGAAACAGATCTGAGTATTTCTACGCTAAGTTTGATGAAGAGTGGGCTGTCATGTAGAAATAGGGTAGGTTAAGGAGTATGAGTTAAGTGAAATAAACTGGAGGGAATTTAGCAAGTCCTTTTTGTTAGGAGTCTTCTCAGTGTCCCTTTGTCTTTGGAGGTAAAGATGCTTCTTTTTTCCTCTGGGCATAAGGAGGCCACCTCTTGTATGAGGGTTTTATGACCTGCTTCGTGAGATAAGGGTTGGAAGAAGGTCAAAGTGACCTTTCTGCTTCTGCCATATTCTCAAACTCATTCATCTTAATATGCCAACATGTCATATTTTACATTAGTATGTCCTGAACGCTGTTAGGCTGAAGAGGGCCTTATAAGCTTTGTCTTTTATTTTTCATTCTAAGGGAAATGGGGAATGCCATTGAAGACTTTTCAGCAGGGAAGAGACAATATCTATTGCACTTGCCTTTTAGAAAGATCACACTGGCTATATGGGTCAGAGTGGAACAAAACTAAACATGTTGAGCCTAGTTAGAAAACGTAGCAACAAAGACAGAGATGTGAACTGACATAGAGGTCTCATGGCAGTGGGCTAGAGATTAGTGGACAGATTCAAGTGATTTTCTTTTTAGCAGGTGGGATTGGAAAGATCATTTTCTACCTCTCCTATTTTTTTATTCTACATTAACAACCTTAAGTAAATTCAAGTCTCTAAAAGGAATTCCTCGTAAATCTCAGATTTTGAAATGATTTAAAATATTTCTGTTGGATAAAACACATTTATCAACATAGGCTTTTTTTACCACTTAACTCTTTAAATCCACAGAAATAACTTTATCTCTCCTTTACAATAGAACCTGTCCACACTGACCTTATAGTAGTGTTATGACAATTAATTGAAACAATTTTTAAGATAATGCCTTGAAAATTAAGATATACAATATACTATAAGTGATTGTGATTATAAAACATAAGTATATTAAGTTATAAAAGTCATGTGACAAATGCACCTACTATGTTTTCCTTTCAATGATAAAGTCTGCAAAACTTTTCTAAGTTTGCTTTTTTATTTTTTTAAGAGAAAATGTTCATGGCAATTCCATTGAACTCCAAATGAAATGTTTGAGTTTTGACTGTACCTGTCACATAAATACATATTTTTGTCACGCTCATAGGTTGCACTCAGTTTATACAAAATACAGTTTTATTAGAAATAGTTAAATTAGCATCACTGTGCCATATTGCCATATTGCAAACTTCGTTCTTCACAGCAGTTTATATCAGTATGTTTTTCACCCTTTCCTCCAAATGAATTATATTTCTACATGTTGCTAAAATTATATCAAGTGTACTGCATCTTAGATGTATATATTTGGAGGAATCTCTGGTTTTCTTTATTATAACTTCACAAGATCCCTACAGCTCCAGTTATTTATTGTTTTTTTTCCAGAGTGAATAACTCTTAACTGATTTGACACATCAGTCCAAGCATAATCAGGAAATTGGGGCCCTTATATAATCACGGCTTCCTAACTAACACACAAACTGTGTGGCTTGAAACAGCAACAGTCTGCTGTTATCTGTTAACTTCAGAATATCTCAGATATACAAGGAAGTGAAATATTGCAGAATCTTTCCAGTCCCTTTTTAATTTAATCATATTATTATGGAAATACTTCTGTTTTCATCAACATTTGTAAAAATAAATCACCAAAGGGGTTTGTTCCTAGTGTGATAGAAGAAATGGGGTATAAACATTTGCCTTTGGACTTTTATGAAGTAAAATGGTCACAGTTTGTTTACAACTTAAAATTTAAATATTAAAATGAAAGAGGAAAATCAGTTTGTAAATATGAGATATAGGTCTGTATCAGAAACCAGTTATTGTCATATTGAAATATTATACTTAGATGTGTGAACTTACTTGGAGACAGTTGACACCGAATATAAAACAGGTATCTCCAAATAAACTCTGAGTAGGTGAAATGAAGCTATTCCCAATTTTGTTCTATATGACCAATAACTAAGAATAAATTTGAGTCTTTTTATAAAAACAAGAATAATGAAACAATAAAACAAAAATCCAGTTGAACATAGGTGAATAATTTCAAAGTATCTTGGTATCCAGATAACCAAAGAAAATTATTTCTTGCTAAAATGTGAAGGGATGCTGAAACCATAAACTATGACATGCTGGATAAAGTACATGGACATTTTCTAATTGTTCTTTAGTAGGTACAAAAGAGTGTAAGTTTCAATTGTTGATGATACTGATGCTGATGATTATGGTGATGGTGAAGAGATTTGAAAGGAAGTAATCCTTGGTAGGTATTATAAACTGAAAGAATATACCCTTTGAAAGTTTAATTTTAATATCATAATCATGGAAAGATCGCATAATGTTAATTTTTGCCAAGTAAAACTGTTTGTAGTTAAGTGAATATAATACTTGAAGTTATAACATGTGTTTCTTTGCACAGCTTATTTTAGAATTATTAGTTAATGTATGGAAGTCGTTTCAGAGCCTCATTTTCTGGTTTGAAAATTAGTACATGCACATGAAAAACAAAAAAATGACAAGAGCTAAGTACACAAATGTATAAAGAGGAAATAAAGAATGCCCATAACCTTATCTCCTAGAGAAGGCTACACTTAAATGCAATTATAGAAAAATAATTTGCTATATGCAGATAAAAATATTTTAAAATTTCTGCATGGTTCTTTTCGAATGTGTCAACATAAAAACATGTTATTTATTTGTGTCATGATGATTATAGTGGATATGTATTATTTTGAGTTCTGTATTTTTTATTTGTTTAAACACTTCTCTATATAACGACATAATCTTCTAGTACATTATGTTAACATACCTTTATTAGTGAAGAGAACTACTAATAATTAAGCAGTTATGTAAATTTTTTGCTCTCATAAATAATACTATTAAAAATAATTATGAACACTAGACTTAAAATCTTTTTTGATAAGAATTTCAAGAAATAACCAGGTTAGAGGTCGCTTCATTTCAAATGCTATCAGTCTTATTTAAGAATGTCAATTGCCTCATGTAAAATCATTCATTTAAGATTCAATTAACGTCAAAACCCTATGCTAAGCAACATTCAAATTCAAAATTAAATCTTGCCCTTAGGGAAGAATAATAAGTATATGTATTTTTCACTTGATTTATACAGCTTTACAATGTATTACTTTTTTTAATGGAAGAATATTTAAATTAGTTTTTTTTTACTTGAATGGTAATGAG